TTCCACTAGATGGCAGCAATGACTCACAAATATTTTCTTACATTTGTTTTGTAGTACTTTATGATCTTTATGTACTCATTTTTGAGTGCCTATCATATAGAGTACATTCATATGTCCTTAAGTCTGCCTGGAGAGCAAGCATATAAAGGTAAACTGATTCTGTAAGCAAAATATCTGGTAATCATTTATATATATTCTGTTTCCCTGAAAATAAGACAGGGTCTTATTTAATACAGTATCCTTATATATAATTACTGTATACAAGCATCTATAGTGATATTGGCAGATATGAGCAAAGGCCACAAGTAAACAAACCTCAGTTTGTTAACTGAAGACAATGGTATAAATATAGCTTGTTTAAGAGGGAGAGGTGAGGAAAGGAAGGAGAAACCAACATGGACAACAATTGAAGATATTTATGTTGATTGGTTTAATTCTTTTGCCAAGAGTTTCTTTTTTTTAGAATTTCTGATGTGTGTCAATGTTGTAGCTGTTTTAAGGCTATGAATTATACTCTTTACATTGTAAAATGTGGCTAAAATATCTTCTTCTGATTCTATTTTTTATGATTACGGCCTTCTTACATTTTTGATGGTGTTCTAAACAGAGATTAAATAAAAGTGTATAAAATAGTATCAGCTTGGCTGATTCAATATTCTATGCAGAAATAGTAGAATAAAATGACAAAATGCCTGAAGAAAGTACTACTGCACTAAGAATACAAGAATCTGGTATCCACATAAACAACAAAGCTCTCCCAAGTGGAGAGGAATGTATGCTGTGGGAAGACTGTATTATAGATTTTTCTGGTTCAAATGTCAACAGGTTGCATGTGAAATATTCTCACAAACTGAAGACGGTGTAGCATCAAGAGTTCTGTTCTTAACAGCAAGATCAGCTGCATGTAGTGACCTTGCCAGGAGTGAAGATAGAATTTCAGATTTTGACAGCTCTGACTTTGGTAAAATTATGGGAAATTGAACATAACTGGCTTAAGTATCCTTGGCATGGAGAGTAAAAACATTTGGCATGTCTGTCAGATGAAACTACTTATGATAGTAATGTGGAGGCCTAGAGGGAGGTTGATAACTCAACACCATGAAATTATAATAGAATGATGGTATTAAAAAGACTTCAGGAGACCTCCATACTAGTATGCCTCAGTTCATGCGTACGTCTGACCAATATACCAGCATTCCTTCATTCCAGATTTCACCTTATGATATTGAGCCTTGCAAAGCCCTATCAAAAAAAGGGGGGCTTCAAGAGCATCCTGAGGAGGGAATGGTGGCAACTGCTCCAGGATTCACTCTTGTAAACAGGAGGGAATTGCTTGCATCTTCTCAATGCAAACTGCCAAGGAAATCAGTGTGATATGAGGCAACTCCCCACTCCCCCAGGATAATTGCACAGATAAGTCTCCCTGTCAGACTTATCTGTGCAATTATTTTATTTGATATGACACTGCGGAGAGTTTTCCCCTGCTGAATCAAATTTAATTTACAGGTCTCATTAATGAAGTTGAAGCCTGCTGGGTTCAGCAAAACTGTAATGCAGAGGTAGCATTCAGTGAGAGGAGACCAGAAACAGGAGAACCTTGAGGACTTTGGTGAACTGACAAATAGAGAGGTTACTTACCTGTAACCGTTGTTCTTCTAGTGGTACTCTGTGAATCCACACAAATGGGTTAAACTGCGCCTGTGCAGGACTCTTTGGAATATTCTAGAGCTAAAAATGACAAGTGTAACATATCCCTGTATTGTGCATGCTCCGCCCGCCGGTACCTCAGTTTTGAATATCTGCCATTGCAATGGCTCTGAAAAATTAAATGCCAAAAGACGTTGCGATGTACAGCGGTTAAACTGCTGTACTGCAGCCAAAACTGTGCTCACGACCTGGGGTTCAATCCCAGGTAGCCGGCTCAAGGTTGACTCAGCCTTCTATCCTTCCGAGGTCAGTAAAATGAGTACCCAGCTCGTTGGGGGGGCAATGTGTAGCCTGCATAATTAACTTGTAAACGGCCCGGAGAGTGCTTGAAGCACTGTGGGGCAGTATATAAGCAACTTTGCTTACAGATCTCAGAGAGTTCAATGCCATGCAGCCAGTGGAAGTAGCCATGGTTCTGCTGGAATTCACCTTGATCACCTCTGGTAGAGTTTTGCAAACCAGGTCACAGGCTAGAGTAATGGCAGAGACCAACCATCTGGAAATGGATTGGGAATAAACTGGATGACCTTTTTGAGGTCCATGAAAGCATAGAAATAGTCTCGTTGATTTACGCTTGAGATATAAAAAGCAAGAGCCCAACCAACATCAAGGGAGTAAAGCGTGCGCTCAACATCTGACCAAGGGTTGGGGAAAAAAGTTGGGAGAATCAAGGGCTGATTAACATGAAATTCTGAAATCACTTTAGGGAGGAATGAAACATCAGGATAGAGAACAACTTTCTCTGGGTAGAACTGGATATAAGGCTCATCAGCCCGTAGTGCAGCTAATTCACTTGCCCTTTGTGCAGACATGATGGCCAGCAAGAACAAAGTTTTTAAAGACAATGACTTCAAAGAAGATGTAACCATTGGCTCAAACAGAGAACATGTGAGGACAATCTGAAGGGAGCATTGAGGAGTTGGAGGTCGAACAGGAGGATGAATATTCTGTAGACCTCGAAGGAACTTCTTAACAGTAGGGTGAGAAAACAAATGAGAGGATTCAGAGCCCACCGGTTGATATGATACAATGGCTGAAATATAAACTTCGAGTGTGGAATGAGCCAAACCCAAATCAAGTAAGTGGTGCAAGAAGGTAATCAGAGTCCTCAGAGAAACAAGAACTATAACAAAGCCTCTGAGCTCAGCAAATTTGGTAAAGGCAGACTATTTATGGGGATATAACAATTTGGTTTATGGTCTTCTGACATCAAGACTAATGAGGGAGAAAAATCACCTCTCAATGTCGAGGTCGGTGTTGGTCGAGAGATATGTGTCTGTGTTTAGATAGATGTTTCCTCAGAGGTGATTGTTGTGGCAATCCCTCTGGGTCCGACAATTGTACAACTTGTGCCTGCCTGATGGATATAGGGCTGCAATGGGCCGAGGCCTGGCTGGATATAATCTCAGCCTCAGAATGGCCTTGTGTCAGGGACAGGCTTGGGACCAATACCGATGCCTGTGTCTGTGGTCAAAGACCATCTTCATCCGAAGTTGAATCTCGCATTTCCATGACAGGCTCCTCTAATATAGGTGATGGTAATGTTGCTCGAACCGGACAGGGTTTGGTATGATGAACAGCCTTAGGATGTTTTGACTTCTTTTGTTTAACGATTTCTTTTTTCTTCTTAGGGTCCTTGGTAGTGGCCTTTGGTACTGACATCAAACTCATTGCCGAAGATTTTTTCGGCTTTGAAATTTTTAACGAAGCTCGAGACAACGTGGAAGTTGGGGCCAGCAAAGCTGTGGGGTCGGGGCGAGGAGTCAGAGGAGCAGGTGACAAGGTAGGCTCCATAGTGACTGGGCCCGACAGTCTCAACGACGTTCCCCACAAATGGGAGCGAAGTTGTTGCAGACGTTGTTTTAAGGCTGGCTTGGTCAACTTTTTACAGTGTTGACAGGAGCCAGGCTGGTGTCTTTCCCCTAAAAAAAAGGCAGCGATCATGGCCATCTGTGAAAGGAATCTTATTTGCACACGATGCACACCTTTTAAACGGGTCTGAAGAGGCCATAAAATTTGGCGGGAATCTGACAGAAATAAAAATGATTGTGAGAACTCACAGGAGATGTAAAGTGAAAATTGATTGCAGTCCAAGTCAAGCTAAAATATCAGTCCAATAAACAGAATCAAGTAAATCCAATAAATTAAGTCCAAATCGTAATACAAGACAACACGATTAATGATCCAAGTTCAAAACCAGATAATCACATAACAAAGCCCAAATCAGAGAGGATCGTAGGTCACGACAGTCCGGGTCAGTAAGCCAGATAATAATCATAGTCGAAGAACAGTCCGTAATCAATACCAGAAGATTTTAATAGAATAAGTAGCTCAAGTGATACAAAGTAGTCCGATTGTGACAGTGGCAAAATACCAGTGGGCAGAGCATGTGCGATACAGGGAGATGTTACACTTGTCATTTTTAGCTCTAGAATATTCCAAAGAGTCCTGCACAGGTGCAGTTTAACCCATTATGTGCATTCACAGAGACCACGAAGAAGAACATTTCCATGCTGGCCTTTGTTGTTAAAGCTGTCATTGTTGTGGTGGTAAATTCAAAAAGATTAGATTTCAGCTATGCATTCCTGTTTCTCCAAGACTGGGTGGGAAAAACTTTTTAAAAATCATAAGTGGCAGTTTTAGAGCAAAAGAGACACTTGTCAAGGAGGTCATAGATGGGAATTTCCCCTGACAACCCATGCAATATTTAAAGAAAACCCAGGGACCGTAAGTCCTGAGAGAAAAATATACTACTAACTACTTTTTCCTCGAAAAACAAAACAAAACACTATAACTATAAATACAAGTGAAGAATAATAAATTATATACAAGGGGAAAAAAAACAATTGTTGAAATTGAGATCTCTCAAAAGGGGTTAGTTAAGGGTATATGGCCACTTAGGTGGATGAAACAAAACTGAGGGAAGGCATACTTGAACATGTGTTGTGGTGGAGGGGGTCAAAGATCAAGAACTCTCCATCTTGAGGATTCTGAAAAAGCTTGCTCTGTCCAGGCACAGACCCATCAGATGACCATAGAGAGATGATGAACAAAGAAGCAGCAGGTTTAAACCTCATAAAAATTCCTTGAAGCTTTAATGGTCTCTTTTCAGAGAATCTCCTATAAAAAATTATTTTTCTTGGGTAGTGCTCAGTAAGGTGATAGGTGATTTGTTTCCTACATTGCTATAATTGATTCTGTTCCTATGTTCTGAATTTTTAAAATCAATCAATGATTTTACAGCTGATTAGTTTCTTACTAAAATATTTTCATGGAAAGAACTAATAGCATACATTTTCTTTACTTTCTTCAAGTTTGTATGTTGTCTCTTCATCTTTACTTTTCATCTTCTCCTTCAGGTATTCCAATTCATTTCTATAAAACAAATTAATGAATATATACTAGCATGTAATTGCAGTAGAAAAGTCTACAGTAAACAAAAAAGTAAGTTCAGGTATAGAACATAAGAAATGTGATGGTATTAGTAGATTTACAATCAAAAATGTTGTGACTAGATCCAATTGTCCTCTGTAACCCTGTGCATGCAAGGTTTGCTTTTGCTTCTCCGTTCTTCCTATTTGATGCCCTCTTATAAATGGACTGCTGCCTGTGAAATTTGACATCAGCCCCAGAAATAAGTTTTTAAGAATTTAGTAATCCTCACCTCAAATGAGAATGAGCACTAGAAACCCCTAAATTTTTCTCTACATTGGTTATATTCTTGTCCTGTACTTAGAACAACAAATCACATAATTCACAGCAGCTAACTGGCACTAACTAATGAGTCCCTGTTCACCTTTATCATTGGGCACCAGTCAGGTGGCTTAGTGTGTGACCAAGAAACCAAGCAGCAACTCCTTAATTAGCTGCTGCAAGTTACACTACTTCCTTTCCAATGGCATAGATTTTGGGCACTAGTATAAAACTGAATCCAAAGGATACTTCCTAGCTTACTTCTCTTTTGAAGGCCTACCCACAGGAGAACAGAGGTTTTGAGGCAAAAGCCCATTCGCAAAGGTAAACCTTCTATCCTGGTAGGTGGTGGGATTTAAAAACTATACTGAACCAGCTTCCTAGCTCTTGAAAGTATATTCATAGAAAAGCAATGGAATAATTTATCCTTTGGCTTTGCAAACATTTGTGTTTAGAAGGAGCTGCTATGAACACTGGTCATAAAAGGCAAAAGCTTGCTACCATCTTGGGCTCCACTGGGAACTAAGGGGAACTATCACTGTCATGTCCACCACCATCAGGCTTCTGGGCAGCCTTTGAAAGCAGGTGCTCTTTGAGGAAATTTTATTTTGATGAATTTGAATTTTACCTAAAATGTGTTTGGCTTGGCTTGGCTTGGCTTAAAAGGTGCTTTAAAAAAAAAAAAAGGTTTTCTGTTTAGAAGGTGTTCCCCCTCCCCCTTTTCCTGCCCTTTTTCTGATCTAAGTACATCTTAAGTCAAAAGAAGAAAAATTCTCCCCCTGGTGATAGAGTATGGATTAACAGGCTTTGCATTAGTTCCTATGGGAACTAATGCCTCTACCTAAGAACTAAAAACAGCAGATACGGATTAAATGGTTTTCAATGCATTCCTATGGGAAATGGTGTTTCGACTTAAGAATGTTTTGATTTAAGCATGCAGTCACAATACAGATTAAATTCTTAAGTCGAGGTACCACTGTATATTGTCCCCCTGATTATTTAACTTATATGCAGAATACATCATGTGAAAGACAGGGCTGGATGAATCCCAAACCGGAATTAAGACTGCCAGAAGAAATATCAACAACCTCAGACATGCAGATGATACCACTCTGATGGCAGAAAGTGAGGAGGAACTAAAGAACCTCTTAATGAGTCTAAAAGAGGAGAGCGCAAAAAATGGTCTGAAGCTGAACATCAAAAAAACTAAGATCATGGCCACTGGTCCCATCACCTCATGGCAAATCAAAGGGGAAGATATGGAGGTAGTGACAGATTTTACTTTCTTGGGCTCCATGATAACTGCAGATGGTAACATGATAACTGCAGATGGTAACAGCAACCACAAAATTAAAAGATGCTCGCTTCTTGGGAGGAAAGCGCTGACAAACCTTGACAGCATCTTAAAAAGCGGAGACATCACCTTGCCAACAAAAGTCTGCATATTCAAAGCTATGGTTTTTCCTGTAGTGATGTATTGAAGTGAGAGCTGGGCCATAAAGAAGGTTGACTGCCCAAGAATTGATGCTTTTGAATTGTGGTGCTGGAGGAGAGTCTTGAGAGTCCCCTAGACTGCAAAGAGAACAAACCTATCAATTCTGAAGGAAATCAACCCTGAGCGCTCACTGGAAGGACAGATCCTGAAGCTGAGGCTCCAATACTTTGGCCACCTCATGAGAAGAAAAGACTCTGAGGAAAACACCCTGATGTTGGGAAAGTGTGAAGGCAAGAGGAGAAGGGGACAACAGAGGATGAGATGGTTGGACAGTGTTATTGAAGCTACCAACATGAATTTGACCCAACTCCAGGAGGCAGTGGAAGACAGGAGGGCCTGGCGTGCTCTGGTCCATGGGGTCACAAAGAGTCGGACACGACTTAACGACTAAACAACAACAACAATCCTCAGTTGTGTGCAAAACACACATGTATTACATTTTTAACATATAGTATAGACAGTACTGTTTTTGTTAGTCACACAGGTACATGAGATCAAGTTTTATATTTATAGATTTTGAAATAAATAATTATTCATTTCTTATATAAATACATGCTTGAAACTTTAAGCTTTTTATATACATGCTAGCTTGATAAATAAATTCTGGAAAAGAAGACTTATTTATGAACATTCAGTTATTTACAGATATCAAGGGGATATCCAGGAGAAAGAACTGAATTAATATAAAAATGGGTACAAAAATTTCTGAGACTATAAATAAATTCCTTGCCAGTTGTGTGCAAAACACAAGTCTATAAGTCTCTCATAGGGAATCTGCACAATGCTGAAGCTATGTGAAAGCCTTTAGATATTTCCCAGAGAAATCTGACAGATTTTGGAAAGAATTAATTCATAGGGCCATTGTAATTTGAAAGCAGTCTGGTGGCACACATAAACAAGCTTTTGGTGGACTTGTTTTCCAAGCTTTATATTTGTTCAGATAATGAAGCAATTTTTGGAATACAATTTTATTTCTGATTCCAGGGATACTAAATGCTGACTTAGTGCCTAATGGTATGTGTAATGGTACCACTGGATTATGACCTTAGTGTTTTATTGACCATATTAACAAGCAACTATTAAGCACATCTTATATTTCAAGAATAAAATTAATTTCAAAATTTAAAAGTGAATCAAAATTATTAATGAATCAGAGTTAAAAAGTGAATAAGAATAAACCCATTTGAAAAATTTATGCTAAATTATTTTGGCTAAAAGCATACTAGTATATAAGGATAAGTTCTATCATTAGCACATTTCCTGAAATCAGTAACATCTCTATAGAGTAAATATGTTCATTCTTTTCTTGCCTTAAGTCTGTATTTGTTTCTTTTAGGTTTTCTATCTGCTTTTCAGCTTCCTCTCCCATTTCACTCTTGTCCTAAACAAAAAAATACAAGCAATCATCTGCTGAAAATGCATTGATAATACAAAATGCAATGCATTTTACAATATTTAAATGGACACAAACTGCACATCTAGCTTGAGTAACCATCCATGACATATAAATTTCACATTTATTTATTTAGGCTGCAATACTATGTGTGCTTACTTAAGAGTGAGAGGCTGACTACATGGATGTGTAGCCAGCTGTTTGGTCTGCTGTAGGGATTGGCTGATTTGCTCCTAAATGGCAATCAGAGGACATCTTTTGCTGGAGTGAACCAGCTCATCCCTAGAGCAGTGCTATATGCATCTTTCTGATACATCTACTTTTTTTGGTGCATGTTTTGGTCTGTTTCCAGCATGTGTGATTGCTGGAAATAGACTAAAAGCAAAACTTATTTGAAGTTGCCAATATCACTTCAAGATACTGGCAAATCAATAACTTCCTCATGGAGGGGCTGAGGAAATTTTTTTAAAAAAATTAAAGTGTGTATAAGGGCAGCAAATATTCACTGCACCCCTTAAAAATAAAATACAAATAAAAAGCTTTGTCCTGGAGGCTTTTGTTTGCTTTTAGAGATTTAGACATGGTCCTTTAAAGAAAAGCAGAAGCCTCTGGAAGGAAGCTTCTCATTTGTCTTTTTTTTTTAAGTGGAGCAATAAATATTCGCTGCCCTAATACATACTTACTTTTTTTCTTCTTCATTTCCTTTGCCTTTCCACTGAGCCAAGGAAGTTATTAATTTGTCAGTATCCTGAAATGGCTGTAAGTTGTAGGCCACTTCATGACATTAGCAAAAGCTGCAGACCAAATCGGGTCGCTTGAGGTCCATATGCCATTTGTATGTGAGGATTGCACCAAATGCCATTTCAGATCCCCTAGCAACCCTATTTAACCTGACCCAGATTGCTTCTTTTACAGTATGTAGACAAGTCCTGAGTTCCACTGAATTTTCTCGGTATTACACCTGAATAAAAATGTCTAAGATTGCAGACAAAAAGTATTCACAATCTGCCTTTTCAGGGCATTGTTTTCACAAAGAAGTACTGCATATGCAACAAGTCAGTACATATCAACGACGTTTATTCATAATGTGGTTCAAAAGGTCAAAAACCAGGAGCATGAAAACAATGTTATAAAAATCAACACAGAAAAAGACAATTGTAAAGTATATTGAAAGCATGATGCATATATTATAGTAAAAATTAAATTCAATGAAAATAATTTATAGATAAGAAATAAGACTAAAAATCAAGAAATAAAAAACTTGCCTTAATATCTTCTTGAAGCTTTCTAAATTCATTAACTATATTGTTCTTTTCTTGAATAATTTGTTCTTTGTCTAGTAACACTTTGTTCCAATCCAGATGTAGTTGCTCATTCTTTGATCTATAAAGTAATGGCATAATCTTATAAATATAATTAGACTATTCAAATGTTCTTACATCTGTTTCAAAACAACACTGGAGGCATAGCAATCCTAAAACCAGGAGAATGCTGACTCATGGACTCATAGAACAAAAGTACTATTTCGTCAGAGCTCCTGTAGGAAGAGAAATTCCATCTAGTACATGTCCCCAAATTTGGCAGCTGCAAATGGATCATCATCACTCTGCATCCCAAGTATTTTTGTCAATAACTACCTAACTCTCCCACTGAAATCAGCATGTTTCTCACAAAATTTAACTTTAGTGAAATTGTGTCCTGTTGCCTCATCAGTTACTATGCTCAATACAAGATACTAGTTATGACCTCTAAAGCATTTAATGGTTTAGGATCTTGATATTTGTTGGAACATCGCTGTGGCAGAATGCCCATGTCACTCCTGTCTATCACAGCTGAAGCTCACACTGCAGAAAATTCCAATGACTGGGATCACAAATCGCAACCCTTATTGTATGTGTATCGATCGGTGCCCCAGAAAAGCACAGAATTCAGTCCATTTGAACTATTATTTGGAAGGAAAGTTTGGCGATCCCTAGATTTACTCCGGCAAAACTGGGAGGAACTTAGGGAAGAAGATCCTGAGTCAGTGATTCAATATATAGATACCCTAATGAACTCTTTGCAGCAGTCTCTTAAGATAGCAGCAGAAAACTTAAAGAGGCATCAAGGGAAGCAAAAGCACTGGAATGATAAGAGGGCCAGGGAAAGAACATTCAATCTGGGAGATGAAGCACTAATATTGAAACCTATTAAAGGGAATAAACTTCAATTAAATTGGGCAGGTCCTTTTAGAATAGTCTCAAAAATCAGTGAAGTGAATTATTCAGGAGGAGGGAGAAGAAGGCTGAAGAGTGGTTCATGTAAATATGATCAAACCTTATTATAGGAAAGAAAACGTTGTCTTATATGCCATTAAACGTTGTCTTATATGCCATTAAAGAAGAAGACAACGAAAAACATGAATTAAAATATTGGGAAGGAAAGGGTGAACCCCATTACAACCCTGAAGATGTTAAGATTAGTCACACGCTAACCCCAGAGCAACAAGATGATGCGAGAGCCTTGTTGCAGAAATACAAGCAAGTCTTCTCAAACAAGCCTGGTGTAGCAAAGGGAGTAGTACACAAAATAGATACAGGAGATGCACATCCTCAAGCTGTCACACCTTATAGAGTAACAGGCCAAGGTTTGCCAGGAACTAGATGAAATATTGATAGAAAAAAATCATTATTCCTTCATCTAGCCCGTGGGCAGCCCCAATAGTTTATATTTAGTCGTTTAGTCATGTCCGACTCTTTGTGTCCCCATGGACCAGAGCACGCCAGGCCCTCCTATCTTCCACTGCTTCCCGTAGTTGTGTCAAATTCATCTTGGTTGCTTCGATGACACTGTCCTGCCATCTCATCCTCTGTCATCCCTTCTCCTCTTGCCATCACACTTTTCTAACATTAAGGTCTTTTCCAAGAAGTCTTCTCTTCTCATGAGATGGCCAAAGTACTGGAGCCTCAGCTTCAGGATCTGTCCTGCCAGTGAGCACTCGGGGGTTGATTTCCTTTACAATTGATAGGTTTGTTCTCCTTGCAGTCCAGGGGACTCTCAAGACTCTCCTCCAGCATCACAATTCAAAGGCATCAATTCTTTGGCGGTCAGCTTTCTTTATGGTCCAGCTCTCACTTCCATACATCACGACAGGAAAAACCATAGCTTTGACTATTCGGACTTTTGTTGGCAAGGTGATGTCTCTGCTTTTTAAGATGCTGT